GTCCCCCCCCCCCGATATACCTCGCCTCATTATGAATGGCTCTACTGGGCTTTCAGGAAGATTATTCACTCGCTGTCTCCGATTCTCCTCTTGTATATCATCACATTCAGTCTGTGAATCCCTCTGCTTTCAATCCTCTCTCCTTCCTCGCTGTCATCACTCTCATCCACTGCCTCTCTCTCCTCTCACATCCTTGTCATCAATGGTATTGTGTGTATGTATATTTAAATAATCCAGGCCTTGTGTTATGGACCTCAAGGATGCAACCCCCCCTCCATCACCCAGCCCTTTTTGCCCATATATTTGATTATATAACTGAGTCACCATGGACCTTGAGGACACTGCAATCTAATTTTATCTGGTGATATTGAGTGCTGGCGATGATGGGAGTTTGTGCATCAGTGCAACGTTTAACACAGAAACTCAGATGATTCCTGATATGTACATCATCAACTCTAAAAATGACCCAAAAGCTGGCAGCTTCTCAGTCAGACTTATCAGGGAGGGTTAAAGACTAATGAAATACTAATGCAGGTTTGAAAGCAGCTCAGTAGCTAAAATAAGAACAATAAACACACATGGCTGCCATTTTGATATCTTTCTGTGCTAGAAACACAAGAGCTCCCACCAAGTTTTCTGTCCTCCCAGATTATTAAACAACCAAACCCCTGCATTGATAACTTTGCCAAACAGCGCCCCACACTGGCTTCTACATAGAACTGCAAACGGCTTGATGGGCATGATACGTTTTATTTTCAGTCAGTGCCAGCAACATGGAGGATGAGCAGTAGTGAAATCAAATACCACAACATGAAGGAGGCAGAGTGTTTCATAGTGTCCCTGGCTGTGTATACAGAGAGAGTTAATCCAATATTAATATAAAGAATGTGCAAAGAAAGAAAGGCTCGTCTAACCGAGCCTATTAACTGCTTGGGTCATTTGATAAAGTGTAATGTGATTAATGTCTTACTTAAGTTGCCCTATGAGGATATTGAACTTACAGAGACAGGAAAATGGTTCTGGATTTGAACCAGGCTGAAAGCAGTGCACGTACAGTTACCTCATACTCTGTATTCATTCAAATATTTATACCCACTTCAAGTGTTCCACTATTTTGACAAATAAATATCTGCTGAGTTTTTACAGTGTTTGACATTTATGAGTCCATGAGTCCACACTGAACATTGTGGATATACACTATTGGATGGTGTGTATATAAGATGTTATATTTGTGAACTGATTATTGACATTTTATTAGTGGGATGATGACTTTGCCATTTGATCATTAATAAAAGCAGATTCTATCTAAGATTCAGTGGCCTAATGATACTATACATGTGCTGAATAACGTTTGATATCAATTTCTGATACAACAAGAACTAAAAAGAGGTGTTCAGTAACATATATCGTCCAACTATTTTGATTAAAGCAGCTGAAATGTAAATATGATTAATCCCAAATAGGTTTAAATGTCTTTATCTGTTGCAGGTGGCCCACTAGCTCAGGTAACAGTGGGATTCCAAAATGTCTGAGTGTCTTCTTTCTAACCTACTTCCTGTCTATTCCGTGGTTTTCACGTGCTCCAGCGTCGTCTTCTGGATGTTGTTGGTGAACGGCATCATGAGGTCGTCAAAGTCCACCTCCAGGGCCAAGATCTCCTTCCGTCTCTCTATCTTCGACATCAGCTGGCTGGTGGTGGGCGGCTTCCCCCAAACCTGAGACACAAAAACACAGACTGTAAAAAATAGAACTCTGTGCAGTTACTCTGCGGGTTGGTTACAGCTTTGAACTGATGTGCACTGCTGGGAAAAACTGGAGAAGACTTCTAGAAATACAAATGCCCTTCTACCTACCTACCTTCTACCTACTGTGGTGTTCAGGTAAACTTGTCAAATTCAAAGTAAACTGTAAATTCTCTCCTCTGAATTGGAAACTTTAAAATGAGTTAGTTAAAAATACTTGGCTGTGTAATCAATGTAAATACTAAGGCCTCAAAACATTTGATGACAGTGACCTTCCTCCACAGGAAAACATCAACTTCATTAAAAAGTAATTATGTAGGTAGATGCTACTGTGCAATGATGGTGGTGAGGTCTACCGTTTTTGGCACAAAGGTGATATCCATAGCATTGGTTTTCCCTGCAGTGATCCTGGCGTTCTGCAGGATGACGCTCTCTGAATCTTTCGGGGACGTCTTCCCTGCTGTTGCAGTCAAGGACTCTGAGTGCACTGCACCTTCTGCTGCAAGGCCCTGAACGGTACACAAAGTTGTTTTAAAAGATTTTTAAGATGATAAAAGAAAGAAGGGGGGGGTTACACAACAAGGCTAAAATTGTTTAGCTGCAACAAGTTGGAATAAGACACACTGTAAAGGGTTAATATTGTAGTTGCAGGAGCAATCACCTCAGTGTTGTGTCGGTGAGGACAGATGAGCATGGATTTAAGGTTTCCAATCCAGTATTTCATTGGTTTCAGTTGGAAAGGTTTATTGGTCATGTACACAGTTCAGACTTGAAAGGATGGCCTCTACCATGCAGTCAGCCAGGGATCTTTGTTCAGAAAGGAGTGAGCCAGGTGAGCTAGCTTCCTATATAACTTCTGGGGGTGGAGCCACAGGAGGAAGTAGTAGACCAGGTAAGGAGAGGAGGAGGAAGTAGCAGGAGACTTTCCACACACACACACATCACCAAAATGTAGGTGTACATTTTGTCACTTTGAAGAATAAAACTGTCTAATTTCAGATGTTTCAATAAATCTTATTGACATTGAGGATGGAAAGAGAATCAGTTACACAGAAGACATAAAGCTTCTTTATAGTACTGTTAATTATTTAACTATGAAAAACACTGAACATAGACAAACATGTACCAACTGGGGAAAACATGAAAGGATACATATTTAAGCTTTTCAGCTTTTCTTTATGTTAAAGCTCTGTAAAGTTAAAAAGCCCTAAGTCCACAGTAAAGTGGGCTCCACAGTAAAGTGGGCTCCACAGACAACACTGCTCCTGAAGCTCCTGAAACAACCTGTCAGAGCTAAAACCAACCGTTTCAGACAGAGGTGGAAAAAAGGAGCCACAGCAAAAGACAGTCTGAGGAAATGATGGGTTCTCTGAACATTAGAGCATTTAAACCTTATTAGGTACTCACCCAATTTATAATCATGAACCTAAATATGAGCATAATATGTCTCTTTTTTTTCCAGATACTTGACCATCAGTCAAGTGAGTCTAAAGAAACACTCATTAGGGAATAATCAACAAAACATGAAACAACATATTAAAACTTTGGATAAAAACAAAACCTTTTTAAAATCAATTACTCCCTCTCTTACACACAATATAAAGCTCTTAAATTACACACAAATGGAAGCTACTAAGGACTTTAGTTGGTGATAGCTATTCCTTTCTTTGCCTGCAGATGTTGGATATGAACAGATGTTTCTGCATTTTAATAGGCTGCAGCTGGGTCTCTGGTATCAGGTTAAAGTAGAAGTGAAGCTCTCGTGTTTCTGGGGTTGGATGATATGAACTAGCTCTGGTTTCCAGTGCTTTGCCTGAACACCACTGTGTCCTTGCTGCAGCCTTGTCTTGCTTTGCAATCATTTAGTTTGAAATACAGTACTAGTATACTTACACTAAGGTAACCCAGCTCTGAGATGATCTATTATCTGCTTCCAGTGGGAAGGTCATTACACTGTAGATGGCAGAGCATTGAACTGACTGATGTCTTAATCAATTATGATAAACGATCAGTCAAATATATGAGGTTCAAATTTTGGATTCAATGTAACAACTGTTCAGACTCAATCAAAATACAGTTTTCCTAAATAGAAATAAATCTTGTCTCAATTAAAGTTTTTCTTATTTTAAATTATTTTGTTCACAAGTTTATTGAATGTGATTGATACCAGTTATTCCATTAGCTTAAACAGGCGAACACATACCCAGAGATGTTACAGAGATCCATTGTGTGCTCTTGTTAGTTTGAATATTTAATACCTGCATATTGCCTTTAGTGCGAGAGTACTGCAAATTGTCTCAGGGTAACAGGTTCAATGCCATGAGTGAGTCTAACATTCATCAGAAAGCATTTGGACTTGAAGGTGGATGTATTATTTACACTGACGGACTAACTAATGAGTCACAGTGGATGGAAATTTAATAGGCTTATCACTTTCTTGTATTGGTGAGGGAATTCCTGCAGTTCTGCTGAGGAATATTGTCATTTAGTTTGACATTAGCAGAAAACAGAGGCACTTCCTGTCAATGAGAGGGTAGACAGCTCCATTTTATACCTGTGAGCAATTTATTCTGCTGCATAGACTCTTTCTTGCCCCCTAAAACTGCTGCTCGCAACTGTATTGAGCTATGAATATCCCTGATGAATTTGTGCCACAGCACCACCTGCGACTTTCAGGGCTTTAATGACAAAATCAATAGGTTTCGTTTGATTGTGGCCTGATTAGTGGAAATGTAAATTGTAACTTCAGAATGGTCTAGTTGTAACATAACACATCTGGTCTAATTTGCTTACAAGTCGGTGTCTTACAGTCAGCAGATCTCTTTACAGGCTTGGGTTTCTCATGATGAAAAGAGGCCACAGTTCACAGGGTGAGATTGTGCTTCCAGTCAAATGTTGGTTAAAGTGTAACTTAACTGTTTTGCCTGAAGGGCCTCTCCCTTAAAACATGTCTTTAGAGCACAGTGCTACACATAAACACACACACGCCATCAACATACCAATTAGCTTGCTGAAGCTAAATTGTCCAACTATGAGTAGCGACTGCAGTAGCACTCTTTTCAACAGAAATGTCTTAGGTAGAAGAAGCTTCTCGCCTAGGGAAGTGCCTTAAGGTCAAGACCATGGCCGCACCAACCATTGGCACAGGAGGCTCAAGATGTTTTGAAACACTAGGTGGCGTTATGAGCCATGTTCAAATCATAAATGTAGATTTATTTTATTTTATAAATTTGGTAAATGTGATATCAACAGTAGCAATCATTTGTTTCTTCAAAGAAATTAGTACAAGTCATTTAATTTAGTGTGTAAAGTATCACTTTCACATTATTTAAAGGTAATTTATTGTTGGAAATGTATGGAATACATGTCCAGTGGTAGTGAAAGAAAGAACAGAAATTACCTTTTATTTTGCACACATAGAGTGCACAAAGAAATAAAACAGAGTGTGAAGTCAGAAATGTTTAATATGTTTGTAGCCGGCTGGTTAAAAGATTTGAATGCCGTTACTTGGGTACCTTTTCTTTGGCAGATTTAACTTTTGGAGCTTTGCCACCTTTTCCCTTCGCTGCCTCCTTTGATATAGGCAGAGAATCCATCTTTTCTTTGACCAACTCAATTATCCTGAAGTCTCCAAAAGCTGCTGCAATGTCAAGGCAGTTTTCTTCTACGGAGAAATAAAAAGCAGAAAGTCAAATAACAGCAGAAATCACAGTGTTAACACTGAAAGAGGAACAGCTTGTTACAGTAGCTATAGTGTATTTGTTGTTAAATTTGCTTCAAATGACCGTACACAAATATTCAGTTATATTTCCATATACACATAAAAACATACATAAAATTGTTTTAATATTAATATTTTTCGAATTAACTTTGATTTATTTTGGATGTTCAGACAAACCTTTCTTGTTCTTCACAGTAACACTGGCACCTGCCTTGATGAGGAAGTCCACAGTGGAGAGTTGAGAGCCCTGGATGGCCATCATGAGCGGTGTGCTTCCGTTGAACGTTTGAGCATCTATGGCGGCCCCAGCCTCCACCAAAAGCTCAACAAGTTCCACTTGACCAGCTTGAGCCGCTTGGTGGAGGGGCATCGAGGAGAACTGGTCACCCATGTTGACATCTGCCCTGTAGAAGAAACAGTTCACAGAAGGTAAGTTGATAGCCTTTAAGTTCGATTTTTCTTAAACAGCATTTACCTTGCACATGAAATGATTTTCAAATGTCAAATATTACATATTCAGGTGTCCCTGAACACACCACATATCCAATTGACTTTAAACTTTCTGAAAACGTATTTTATATAGTGCAAAGAAATAAACAGAAACTAAGGCTGGAACTAAATCTAAACACTTTTTTGAAACTTACTTGGGTGTGGCAATAATCCAGACATTTGCAGTTGACTATTAAAGAAATATTTTATCCTCTGTGTTTTTGTGCATACGGTGGAGTATTCAGGTAACTTAAAAGAAAAAAACCTGAGATTTTAACAATAAGGTTTTAAATTTATGAGATAGCGGGGCTATCGTTCGTTACATCTGCATGCTTTTCAAAAGGATTTCATAGTTTTCTCAAGAAAACATGACATTGGTAATCAAGATCTTGAATCCAAAAGGAGAGAAAAGAGTTCTCCTTGCTGCCTTTTACCTCATAATATTATGACTTTTTATGACTTACATATAAATTCATATTGTTGTTCACCAGTTTTAAATAATTCTGATAATCTTCACAAGTGTAACCAAAAAGTATTTCCACAAAATGTGGAATCTGTTTCCAAAACAAGAAAGGAAAGAAATCACAATTTGTTTTCCTTACCCCTGGCTGAGAAGATACTGAGCCACCTCATAGTTGCCAGTGATGCAAGCCACACTCAGCGGAGTTTTGTAATATTGATCTTGAACATCCACAGGAACCCCCTGACTGAAAGCCAGGTCCAACGACTCCAGATCTACACTTTTCACAGAACTGTTGATATTCACATAGGTCTTCTCTGGCTTCTCCATGTACCATCCGGAGTCGTTCACTATGGGATGTTCTGGTGGGTGATCCCGGTCGAATCTGCAGATGTCTGACAAGTTGTGGTACGTCTCAATCATGAAGGGAGGTGGGCCTCCATCCTCTTGCCGAGGCATGAGTTCCGTTGTGAGGGTGCAAATGGGCATTGGGATGACCAATTTACCCTTCTTCTTCTTCCCCCCTTTTCCTTTCTTCCCCCCCTTTTTCTTTTTAGGCAAATAGGAGGAGTGGAGGTAAGGTTTCTTGATGTACTTGACACCTTTGATGAAATCACTAATGTTGATACTGCCCACTTTTTCCTTGTCATGTGCTGAAATGACTTTTTGGAGCTGCTCTGGTTCAGCTGGAGCTTTGAGTTCCTCTAACACAGAAACAAACCTCTTTGTGGGAACTGTATCTGAGTTGCTCCCGAAGGCTTGACATAACTCGGTCTCATTCTCATGAGACCAGTCATGGAGGTTCAGGGCCCAGAGGTCTGACATGAGGCTGTCCTCGCTGGACTTGTTGCCTTTCCCCTGTTGCTTCTCAGCTTTCCTCAGCTCCTTGGCCGCTGCTTTGGAGCCAGCGTCTTTGGCAATCTGACGCGGCAGGACACCGTCCTGGTCTTTTAGCTTGGGGTTACAACCTGAACACAAAGCACAGTTTTATGAAAAATATAAACATAAGGTTGAATTACCTAATTTAATTTGGGAATGTGCTTGCAGCTGCATATTCTGCCTTTTTATTTAACTTAATTTCCTGACTCTACTTGTATCACAACAGGGCTATAAGTTTACAACATACAAACACAAACAGAGACCAGTATTGGGCCTGTGTTGTTCTAATGATGGCACTCCTTCAGGGATTAGGAGTAAGAGTAAGAGATCTTAAACAAAAACAAGGAGCTGAAATGCAATGCATTGACATCAGGATGCCTGTTACTGTTCAGCTCTCTCACTGCACCTCTCTGTGCCAGGAACTTGCAGCAGTTAGCGTTGCCCGTGGCAGCAGCGTAGTGTAGGGCCGTGCAGTTGTCCATGTTAATCACGCCCATGTCTGCTGAGTATGCAGAGAGCGCCTGAATCACCTGGGAGGCACAAAACAGAGACACAGATAAATAATGTAAAATATTTTCCACACTGAAAGTAATTGAATCTGGACTCTGAAAATCAAAAAACCTAAAGCAACACAAGGTTGGTTTTTTACCTTAGAATAACAGCTTCTAAATCATTTTGATGGTACACACTTATAATTGGGGAAATGACATGTCTATTAGGGCACCGCAGCGCTCCCCGGTAACCTGAAACTTCTCTGAAACAACTCTAGTGTGCTGTGCTGGAACATGAAGACGTGCTTTACGGGGAACGTCACACAACAACAACCAGAACCGGAGCCAGCAGTAAGCTACAGACTATGTTTTCATGCTAAGTGTAGACATCAAGGGGACATTGTCGGAGAATATTTCACTCGTTAGCGAGTGCTAAAAGAGGCTAATGGATGCATGTCAGATAACGAGCTGGGGTTGTTGTTATTGGATAAGTAAGTCTTGTAACTTTTGCTTGTTTGCTATGTTATGTGTAAGTGTAAGTGAAGTTGTCAACTAGTTTATCATCAGAGCCAGGTAAACACATTTGTTTCTCCTCCGTCCGCTTGTCAAAAAATGCCTGTTTCTGCAGGGAAGCTCGGACCCCAACTTATAATAGTGAATTCCACTTCCCACCTGTATGGGGAACCCGAGCATTTGCGAGAGTGATTCCTGCATTATGTCGCTTTATTGCAAATCATTTATAAATATTGTATATTGTTCTGTGGAATGCTCAGGATAAAAAAAATTCTGACTGGACAATTCTTTTTTAGACCAGTTAATTAATTAGAACTAAAAAAGCATATAAAAACAGATAATGCACCTCAAAAAAGGCCCCCTTTGCAGCGTAGTGCGCTGCTGTGAAACGATTCAGGTCCATGGTGTTTGGGTTTCCCCCTTTCTTGAGAATGGCTTTCACAAGCGGCAGCGAGCCTGCCTGTGCTGCCTCCATCAATGCTGTGACACCGGTGTTCTGAGGAGAGGAAAGGAGGTGAGAGGAGAGAAGGGAGGAGTAGAGTCAAAGGCTCAACAAACAGGATCAAAGCACACATCACAGTATGTTGTGTAAAGGATAAGCTGTCTGTTTCCACATGTATTTAGAGTTCCCATAATCCCTTGCTGTCATCTCAACAATCAAACAACCTGGTTTGTTGCATTGGGGTCTGCCCCGCCATCCAGCATGGCGAGACACATGGGGGTGCACTCCTGAGCTTTTTCGCACATCTGCTGGAAGACGTGAATCCCCTGGGCTGACACATTGTTGGGGTCTGCCTGGCACTTCAGCGCCATCTGCAGGCAGTAAGTGTGGCGCTTTGTGGGGTACATACAGTAGAACAGGACACCTAAAATGAGAGTTAAAGAAACAGGGGACATAGAGAGAGTCAACACTAACACATACTATACACATTGGACATATCTCTGTCTCCTCCCTTGTTTCTTATTTGTTACAGCTATCCACTTTTGAATAAAGCCACAAAAAAATATCTACATTTAAATCATTACCTCTGCCAAGAATGTTGTGTTTTATTTTTGTACAGAAACCAGCTCTAAATCATTATGATAACCTGGGGTTGTATACAGAACCTAGAGAAAACCACTCCTTCGATATGGAGACTGCAGCTGTAAGACTAGTTATCAAGAACTTGGGGCCTGATTGGCCAGTCTAGGCCTATACCTGATGAGCACAAATTGGTTATTAGGACCAGAAGGTAGCTCTTGTCTGGACAATTAACCCTAAAGTTCTACATATCTTTTTTTCCAGCTTATGTAGGTTCATGCCAAGGAATCTGTAATTGGCCATGAAGGAAAGACGCCCATGCTCTGATCTGTCAGGGTTTTAAGGGCCTTGCTCTGTGGCAGTGAGGGAGCGACAAGTGCTGCTTTTTTCAGTTTCCCCACCCACTGTAATCACAAGGTGTAAATCAAACTAGAGTCAGAAGTGTCACTCCAACACCAAGGATAACACAAGCAAGAGTGTGACTCCTGACACTCAGCTAACAGGGGTAGAGGCTTGGCTCTGAGTGTTGAGACTGGGCCGAAGTCCTTTGAGAGAACAGGAGGATATCGGGTTACTCAGCGTGTTACACAGGAGAGGTTCACTGTAATTATGTGTACTCACACGCCCCGACACACATGCACGCAGGTACACACAATAGCATAGCATCCAGTGCACTTTATAAAACCATGTACCCCTGCATGTCAGCACACATGCAAAGACTTTTCTTTGTTCCCCTGTCCCTTTCTCAATCACTCGCTCTCACAACATTTACAGTAATTGAGTCCCTGGACACACTGTAATTGGGATTATCAGAATTGTTTTAAAAAGGTTGAAATGGGCTCTCTGATTGGAGCTGTATGAGATACCACCTCCTCATCAATATCTAAACAGGAGCACCATGCATTTTCATGAGCTGTAAGACAAGGCCGTGCATTCAAGAAGAGAACCTGCAACTCTAACTTAGTGGAAGTGAATCTGTACCAAGGCCTTTCATTATTAATGCTGTATAACTTATGAACCATATACATTACAAGTGAAGTCCTGTATATTATATAAGAGTTTTACTTCCACTATTAATCAAAAATATAAAACAGGGCAGTTGTCTGGTGTGCATCAGGAATGTCAATTCAGTTTGACAAATCTTAACCCTGAATTTTCATCCACATTTCAACTTCCCTTTAGATAGTTTGCTTCCTTTATGTCAACTAACTAGCTAAAGATGAACTGCCTGATCACTTAGACTATACATGCAAACTTCTGCTTAGTTTGTAAAAGTTACTGCCGCAGGTGAAGCCCCCCCTCCCATGTTCCTCACCTTTCTTGTAATTTGTTTGCCTACATGCTAAGCAGGATGTGTTGTCGACTGAGCAAGATTGACTCCAGCTGCTGGAGGTGTGACCCGACCTTGTTCCTGCTTCCTGCCTACATTTTTCAGGCTCCTTAAAAATAAATAATTTGTTTTCATAGAAAACATCTGGTTTTACGTTGCTTCCCTTTCCCCCTAATAAGCTATTATTTCAACGACACAAACCTACTGTGCACTTACATTTCCTCTCTACTTCTACTGTACTCTTCTGGATGTGTTCACATCTTCATGAAACCCAATCTGCAGTTTTCTATATATGTATCTATATATATTTTGAAGAGTTCAATATTCTTTCCAATAATTTAAGCAATAGTAGATACTGTATGAGTGTCCCAGCATCTCTTCCAGGATCTCAGTCTTTGGGCACAGTCAATGTTTAAGTGACACACATCTTTGGGGGACCTGTATATGTGACCAGGCCGCTAATGATACTCAAGTACTCTGCTCTCCCCAGGTATCTTCTTCTTCTCAAACCCACCTTCAGCACATGCAAATGACAAATGACAATGCCTCTTACTGCTCACCTCTGCTCTCAGCATCTTGGAGCTTCAGATCAGCGTTGCTTTGTATTAACAGCCCCACTATGGCGTGATTGCCCCGCTCAGCAGCTAACATGACTGGAGTGCGGCCCTTCTTGTCCTGGATGTTGGGGTCTGCTCCCAGAGACAGGAGGAAACTGACCAGGTCTGTGAGAAGAGGAGGCCAACAATCATAAAATAGAATGGACTTTTAAACATTACATTTTAGATTGTGATACACTCTATGAACTGGTTGATTATTGACATTATATTAAAAGTAACAGACTATATATAAAGATTGATGACATGACAAAAGTGAAGCTAAACTGTCTTGATCGCTCCCTTGTGGCTGGCTGCATTATAAGACATAAACCCTGTTTCCTCGGTGCTAGCGGATGGTACATGGACCCAACTAAAAGCACCTATATCAACTGAACCTCAGACTCAGGCCACAAATGTGCAAGATGGCATTGTTTGAATGTGCAAGGAAGTGAAGAGGCATTGTCCATCTTTATATACTACAGTCTATGGTAATGACAAACACATTTGGCAGGATTGTTATCATTGTCTTTAATTTAACTATATCCCTTTTTAACCTAATGCACTACACTCTTATCTCCCACCAACAGAAAGCACCAATAGATGATATTAAGGTATAGTTTTCTAGAAATGTAAGGAAATTCCTCACATTTTCTTTAAATCTATAAACTACAACACATCTTTCTGGACATTGTTTAAAAAGTCATGTAAACTAAGGGTTTGAGAGCTGTTAATGTCATTAACCCAATATTGATAATCAAAGTGTTCATGTAATAAAAAATCACAATGATTCTTTCAAGCATCTGCTTCAGTGTTGACCTCTAACAAATGAGAACTTGAATTTGAAAATGATCAAATTTCTACCCAGCAACTCAAACCCAGCACAGAGTAGAACCACAGAAGCATTACATGACCATACTACATATATTAATATATTGTGTCAACAGACAGAGCAAGGAAGAGGCCCATCACCCTGATTGTTGGCTGAAACTGCCACATGAAGCACCCCCGTGCCATCCTGTGGCTCAGTGAGATTGATGAGGTTTTCCACCCCGAGGTTCACCATCTTCTTTATCTGCTCCGTATCGCCCTCATGGACACGCTGCAGCAGGATGTAGATCTGGAGGACCTGCAGGCGATCTTCTGCGACCCTGCCACTCATTGTAGGAACAGAGATTCTGGTGGAAACGAAAACAGGGAGATATAACGTCTTGACACATATGCAGATATTTATACAGTTTAAATATCGCAGGAACCAAAGGTGGAGACAACTGTGTAGCTTCCACCAAGGAAGTTATGTTTTAATCTGAGTTTGTTTGTTTGTCAGAAAGATACATTTAAAGTTCACTCTCTTTGAAATTGGGAATGATGAATGTGTGCAATTTGGTGTCGTTCCAAATTAAAATGGAGATTTAATTAAATTAAATTTAAACACAGTTCCATAAGGAGTACTGCTGGGCCTTGGTGGAGGTATACAGTCTAGTCAGTGCCATTATAGTTTAAAGTAAACTAAGGTACATTAGTTAAACGTTAGTATTGTATAGTTAAAATCACTTGATGTCAGATCATCACAGAATACAGACACTGAGTCAAATAATAACATGAGTAGTGTTTGGGGCCATTACAGAGACCACTCATTGTAATATAACCTGCTTTAATGTTAAAGGTGAGCTGAATACCCCTCATCTCACTCTGCTAGCTGGTAGTCTTAAGTTATCATAAAAACTCAAACGTGTTTAGTTTGTCCAATTTGGGCTATTGAAAAATAATGGCGGCCTCCGTAGAGAGGACCTGCTCCTGATGTAAATGTAGTCTTTAAATATAAAGGGCCCATTCTAGGGTAAAGAAAAAAACAATATGAACAATTTAGATGAAACACACAAAAGAAAACAAAATTAGGATTATTTTATATTAAATTCCTGTCAATGGATCCCTTTTACCTGAATCTTACACACTGGACCTTTAACACTAACCTTTAACCTTTCACTTTGTATGAGCCGGAGCCAGGATACACAGTAGAGACAAGCTGACAATGCTAGTAGAGGCCCTTCCAGTGTCAACAGAAACTGCCCAGTGGCAGGTTATTCTGGCATATGTAAAGGCAGCCTATGTTGCCACACTGTTTAAAGGCAGGTGCCTTTGATCTCACACGTGTTTGGGGCCACACTGTGCGAGAGCAACTAAAGCTTGTTCAATGAGCTGTATACTAGCTTAGCTGCCTTCAAACAGCTGTGCCTCAAATCGCGGAAGCTGCTTTTACAAATCAGTGGCAGCTTCTGTTGCCACCGGAAGTGCCTCTAAGACGTGCCACGATCTGAGCGTGCTGTCGCTCAGGAAACAAAACTCAGCACCATGGCAACGGAACGCCTGAAAATCCCGGGAAGGACCTTTGGTGTCTGGTGCTGCTTTCAAGTTCCAGGTCATGAGCTCGGTAATACGATGATTACAATAACAAACGCAACGAAAGCAAAGGAAAGATAAGTAAAAGTGAGATTTAACTGAAAAACAACAAAAGTAAAAAACTGAATAATAATGAAAGTGAGATTAAACTGAGAACCAACGAGAGTGAAATTAAACTGAATAATAACAAACGTTAATTGAAACTGAATAATTCTAAAAGTGATATTAAACTGAATATTAACTAAAGTAATTTATACTCAATAAAAGTGAGATTAAAGGGATAGCTCACCTAATAGTGACAAATCCCTGATTATCTTCACACCACTATGCCAATGGAGGGTGGGTGAAGAGCTTGAATCCACAAAACACTGGTAAACAGTGTAGCAGCCGAATCCAATGCAACAGAAATAATTAGTGATCTATTCTTCAGACGTAGAAAAACTACAGAAAACAACCTAACATGCCTTCACCCTGCTCGTGTGGTGTCATACGATTGTCCGGAATCTCCAACATTCAAATTCGATTCGAATCAGCGTCATTTACACCATGTTTTCAACACAGACTGGTTTTAAACCTGTGTCCACTGACGTCCTCTGACGAGGTGCATTCAGGGACCGTCGGTAATGCTAACTTCACCCACCCCTCCAGCTGCATAGTGGCGAGTAGATTATTAATTAATTTTCTTTCTGGGTGAACAATCCCTTCAAACTGAATAACAACAAAAGTCCACTTAAACTAGATAATAATAAAAGTAAAATTAAACTGAAAAAGTATGAAAGTGACATTAAACTTAATAATAACAGAAGTAAACTTAAACTGAATAATGATAAAATGATGGGCCACCCTGCTACACTTTGTCCAGTGAACATTAAATTTCAGCTGCATTAAGGTGTGAGAGAGCAGCCACTAGTGTTGTCCAGTTCATTATCATTCTGACAACGCAGAGCAGTTTTTTTCTTCAGTCTTTATTTAGACCTTTATTAGCTTCCATAAAGTATGTGCTTGTCTTAATGAAATCAGTTGCCCATTATGTGGTGTACGCTTGTTTACGAATAAGTCAGCGTTGCACATTTACAAAATGCTGAGGCCCAAAGGAGTGGATAACAGCATTATTTATTGTTACAGGGCAGCTAATGAATGCGTTGTTTATTATGGTTCAATAACCTGTCCTCATATCACAACATTAAACAAACCTGCAAAAACAATTGCTACTGCCCCACCTTCTTTCCAGGAGGCAGCCAGGAAGCAGGGCCTTAAATTCACCAGTGATCCAAATCACATCTTTCACAAGATCCTTGGTTCAGGATACCAAACTGTAAATTGAATCATTTCCAGTAGTTCATCTGTCAAGAAAACTACAAAACAGCAGGAGATCAAAGTCATGGCTTTTTCTTTGGATGCATGTAGGATATCCTGGTGTGGAGCATTTGAACTAATTCTAACATTATAGCTTTTGTTTGAAGGAATGATACATGCTAACTTTGATTAATGACAGTATATGCAAATGTGGAAAACTGCATCCTTCTATGACTTCCTCTTAACGGAGATTAAGTGTGGCTAATTCTAATCCATATAAAATGACTCCACCAAAAATACACCCTTAGCCCATCTTGTTATGCCTCCTTACATCCTTAAGCAGCGTAGGTACAATTACAGGTTCTTTGCCTTTGACTGCCACTGCTTAGATCAACTAACATGGTCTTGGGGATGACTTTGTCCACATGCGTGGCAGTGGAATGGCAGCCATTGACAGAGAGGCTTAAAATGACACCTGCAATTCACATTGATGAGTAATGAATGTGCAAAGAATGGAGGGAAAGAGATACTCCTTCCCTTAAGGGGCGTCTTCTCACTGTATTCAAGGATCACCACCAGAACCTTCTACTAGAACGAGTGCAATGATACTGAACACAGGGTGTCACTGCAGTGCAGGACATGAAATGACTCTGCAACAATTATTTCCTCAAAGTCTTCGCCTAAAAATAACCCACTGAAGTCATGAGAAAGAGATTGTGAGAGGTTTAACTAGGAGCCAAACAAAAGTTAACGCAGCTGTGTGTATTTGTGAAAGCCAAAAAAGTGCCAGATTAAATAAGTGATGTTTCACACAGACCGAACAGTGTGTAAAACCTGACTCAAACCTGCTCTTTTAGTAAAGGAACACAAACACCCCGATAACAGAGAGACTGTTGACATCAGCTGTGTAAAACTGGGTATCTGTATTTGAGGCACACGTGGCAACAACATACAAAACATGTACAGTACCTGGCAAAGTGAAGTGGTAATTCATAAAAATCTTATAAGAGCAAAATATTTACATTCCTTTACGGTTACACAATGTCGAGAGACATAAAAATACATTTCCACTCTTAACACAGATTTTTTTTTTCAAAGTATGTGAATTAGTGTATTACATTCACCTTAATATAAATACAATGCAATATGTTGGTGCTGCATCGTCTCTGCAGAAAATGCGCAATGTTCCTTAAAAAATCCATTCAAGAATATCTACAAACTTAATATCATGCACAAATTTTCCTCTGGAGGCATTTTAATTAGACGCAGGACGAGTGTGCACCATGACAGAGTTGGGATTTGTAGCATAGAGACAACTGATGTGTAGCTTCATTGTTTGTTATTGTTAGCATTACATAAAAATTCCATTGTAAGACAGACTCATGAGTTCAACTACTTGATCCTCCAGCAAGTTTAGATGGCCCTTATTAGGTCAGAGAAAAAAAAAAATCCCCTCTCTTCCCTCTGGCCATGCTCCCTGTGTCTGTCCTAAAATGGTCTTATTGTCTTGCTGTGCTATGATTTTTAAAAATCCTGTGGTTTCCCGTCTGAACTGTCAGTGACTTCATTTGTGATTTTCCCTCCAAAGAATAGTGGTTTGGACTGTGCCCATCACCGCCTACATCACTCTGAATGCTCTCCAAGACAACTGGTATTCAGCATTATGTTTCAGGGAATATGCTTGTGGTCAAAATGAAACTGTGAGCAAAAAGGAAAGAAAAAAAGATTATGCTAGACATGAAAAAAAGAAAGTGTAATAACCTCTGAACATTTGATATGTGGTGGGTGGATAACCAAATAAAAACACACATCCTTAGTCCTATAGCATTTTGTCAGATTGCCTTTCATTAACACCAGTAAGACCTGAAAGGCTATCAGTGAAGAATTCAAGTTTATAGAAGTATGCAATTATATGATAACCCTGCAGTGGCTTTTTCTGAGGAAACTATGTGTCAAAAACACACAATTGCTCCTCGCACACACAGTTTTCCTTAAAGCTGTGACACACAAAAACATATCATTGTTTGAAAATGAGTTTTCCTTCTTTCTTAGCACATAATGTTAAGCATAAAGTATATTTTCTATTTCCTCGCTGAATGAATCCAGTCCAATTATTTTAGTCTTTTTGACTGCTCTGTCTCTGGCTCTGTCTCTTAGAGTTTAGCAGACAAACCAGATGCTTGGGTACGGAAAAATTCACCGGGCCTGACTCGTCATGAGGAAACCACATCCAATCAGACGGTCTCGTACAGCAGCATCCCACTAAAGATGGTCAGAGGTTCGGATGAGTAGGCCAGCTTCCCCGTGACTAGATCGATGCAGACCGTGTCGCCAGCCTCCATGGGCAGGATGATGTTGAAGACGGCCAGAGCTCCAGGAATGTGTTTGGCCTCTGCCATGGGTTTCTCCAGGCCCTCGGGCTGATAGCCAGCAGAGTCCACTCGGGCCACGCCGGTGTTGGACTTGGACAACACAGCCTCGATCTTCATGTTCTTGTGACCCGTAAGAATGCCACTGAAGAAGTACTTCCCTTTCACTGGAGCTGTGAAGTAACCTGGAGAAAGGACGCAGGTAAAGAGGATATTACTGTTGTGCATTTGCTGTTTCACACAGAGCTCAGACTTCCTTATTTCACAATGGATGAAAGTTTGTTTAAATTCTTGTAACTTTCATAAACTTTGAGAGGTCAATTAAGATATATTGCAAAATGCACAAACTTATGAAATCACATTAAAGTCAATGAATGGTGATGACTGTTTTTAGCCGAATAAGGTCTTTGTTTGAATGATTAAAAATGTAATTTCCTTATTATTGTTATTTCCATCCCCAGATTTCTGTTACCACTACACATATGAGCCTAATTTGCACTAAGTAGGACAAAAAATATGGTTTTTCCCCACAATGCTTGCTTACCACCAACCGACATTCTTTAAAGAAATTTAATAACAAATGTGACTGACATTGACACAGTATACACATTTTGCACTAAATTTCTTGAAGTCATCTCAAACCAAATCACAGCTGTGAACATGGCAAATAAAATATAAACTGCAATGTCAGCAGAAATGTTATACTAACCGTAGAAAATATGTTGTTTTTGTAATTTGAGTGATCTGACCCTAAATTTAGAATATTTTTGGCTGGGCTGCAACAGTGCAGGCAGTCCTATTAACATAAACGCATTTCACTGACTGATGGACTGAGAGTTGGATTTTCCGATGCCTGTGGTTCTTACAAAATGGCAAAAACATTTTTTATTACATCATCAAGGGGGTTATTACCAACAATGTTACCAATTAAGCACCCTTTCAGAACCATTTAGCAACTTTTTTCCTAAAAAGTACCTAACGACAGAATAAGTGTCTTTTGGGACAAACCTCAGCTACTTAAAAGCAGGGTCACAAGTATTGACCCAAGTGTGAGGTCCTGCCACTTTCCCTCAGCAAGCAGACCTCTAAATAGCTGCTTTCAGACATGCAATGAACATCCACTATATTTTTGAATTAAATGTCTGTAAAAACTCAGGGGAATTTGATGTGTGAGCACGAAATTCACCCCAGGATTCACTGCAAGCAATTGAGGGGGGTTGATAACACTGCTATCATGTAACAGAGGCAAAAAGGAAACCAATACCTCAAAACATTGGCGAAAAGTTTCAGGGTGCTGTAAACATGATCACATGATCCCCACAGCGGAATTAATATGTTATTTCCTGTCTCTGCCTGCTGCACCCAGCTGCTCCACCTCTCACCTGAATAATGTGAAGGGGCCA